CAAGGGAATCTAAAGAGTAGACAGAAATTGGAAGAGCAGGGAATAAAATTGGATTGGTAGACCTATATGCAAATACAAACAAGATATAAAAAAGACAGTGAGGAATTTGGAATAGACAATGAATTACAAAAAACAGATAAAATCTTGATTGGCCCAAATGAGAAATTATTATCAAAGTTATATAAACATTTATTAGAATTTGATAGAGCAGAAGAAATTGTGAAAGGAACAATGATTGCATGGGGTAGGAACATTGGACATACTATTGATCTGGAAGAATGGGAAAAGATTTGGAATGTGAATTATAAAATAACAAAATTGGCGGCACAGGAAAATCAACATAAAATGTTCTATCGTTGGCATATGGCACCCTCAAGATTGGCTAAGATCTATCCAAATTTAAAACCAAATTGTTGGAAATGTAGACAGCAACAAGGTACCTTCTTTCATTCTTGGTGGACATGCCCCGAAGCAAAAAAATATTGGAAGGTGATTCAAATGTGGTTAGAAGATTTAACTAAAAACAAAATTGATTTTGTCCTTTTAGGAATAATAAAAAAACCTATAATAGAAAGATAAAATATCTTATATTACATGTATTAACAGCAGCAAGAATTTCCTATGCCCAATACTGGAAGAAAAATTCCACACCACCTGAAGGTTTAATAATAATAATAAAAAAATTAGAGTGCATGGAAATGGACAAATTAACTATGGAATTAAAAGGGAAAGCAGACACGGAATACAATGCAGTGTGGGAAATTTGGTATATTCGGATTGACAATAGATATAAGAATAGAAAATGTAAATAATGTATATAATAGATGTGAGCATATGAAAGTATTGTGTATTGTGAGTTTAGATAGGATTACATAAATGTATATATAATGTCACAGCACTGTTTAATAAGTATTGGTATTATGTATAAATGGAAAAAAAACTCAATAATGTTTCAAAGTTTCAGGACTGAGGGCAAACTTGAAAAGTACACTAGGAATAGCACAGCAATAGCATTATATACTGCTTCACAGCCCTTTCTAAGTCGTTTACAGAGTCAGCATATTGTCCCCAACAATCTGGGTCCTCATTTCGCTGACTTGGAAGGATGGAAGGCCTTGAGCCTGGTGGGAATCGAACTCCAGGCAGTGAGTTGAATTAGCCTGCAATACTGGACCCTAACCACTGTGCCACCACGCCTCTTACAATGATTGCTTTACCGCCTTCCCCCCCTCCCAATTCAGGTCTGACAAAACATTGCACCAAATGCAAACCCTCGTGTTTGCAGTACCCTGACATTTGGTGGTAAAGAGCTAATTTTCAGCAACACTTTTTACAGTTAAAAGTTGCTGCCTCTGACCAGCTTAACCTCCTGTTTTTCCCTTTTAAAAGCCCTCAAGGCAAGAGGAAGGGGCCCCAAATTTCAGCCCTGCCCCACTGAGCACAACATTTCATTACAATGACACCCTTCAAAGTCCTCAAGAGGGACCACTAACCACAAAAAATGGTCTGGTCCTAGGAGATACCATCACAAAAGGCGGTAGTTAAACACACTGTATAGACAAGCAGTTGGGCAGGATGTGGTGAGCTCTTTCACTGCAACTGGAGTAGCACCTGAGGGGTTTTTCCGGCCATTGCGGTGACTCTATTACCCAAGGTGGGTGGGGCTGCTACTGGGGGAATTGGGGCTGCTTTTATTGTGGAGACGGTGCAAATTTTTAGGAGGTTATTTTGCCCAAAGACAGTCTCCCCACACCTACCCAGCCCCTCCTTTTGCACAGAGAACCTGAACTAAACAGGGATGCCACCTGTGGGTTCTTCCAAGTTTTGTCTTGAAGTTGTATGGCTGAAAACTTCCACTGTTCTGGCTCTTCATATAGTTCTCAAGAAAGGGAGCTAGTAAGGAGAACTTAGCAATGGAGGAACCCAATATAAGTAACCCTCGGCTTACGACCATTCATTTAGTGGCCATTCAAAGGGTACAAGGACACTGGAAAAAAACGTTATTTATGACCATTTTTTGCACGTGCAACAACCGTTGCAGCATCCCCATGGGCACGTGATCCAAATTCAGATGCTTGGCTAGTGGTTCCTATTTATGATGGTTGCAGGGTCTCCGGATCACCAGATCCCCGTTGGAATCCTTCTGTCCAGCAAAGTCAATAGGGAAGCTAGGTTCACAACAATCACATCATTACAACTACAGTGATTCACTTAACAACTGTGGCAAGAAAAATCATAAAATGGGACATCAATCAATGTCTCACTTAGCAACACCAATTTTTGGCTTCATTGTGGTCATAAGTCAAGGACTAACTGTAATTAACTTTTTTTTTTCTCTTCTGCTGAGTTATGTCTTATTCTTAAAAACTGCCTGAACAACTCCCTGAAATTTTCTTGGCAAGGTTTCCCTCTTCTCCTCAGAAATAGTTTGCCCTTGCCTGCTTCTTGGGGGGGGGGGGGGGGGGGGGGGGGGGGGGGGGGGGAGAAAGAGAGAGAGAGAGAGAGAGAGAGAGAGACTAGCCCAAAGTTAATCAACTGCCCAAGGTGGGACTAGAACTCACAGTCTCCCAGTTCCCGGTGTCTTTAACTATTACATCAAACTGATTGGGATATTATAAAAAAATGTTTTCTGAGCATGCTCCTCCAACATGATTGGGCATGCTCTACTTCTTCAACATAAATATGGCTTTTGCTATTGCCCTCCAGTGATAGTCCTCTGTTTGCATTCAGAAATATTTCTCTAATATTAATTCAGTATTTTTAAAGATAGGTGAAGAAGCAGTGGTAGATGACAGGAATAGCACTTGCACTTAGACTTATATACCACTTCACAGTGTTTTGCAGCCCTCTTTAAGCAATTTACAGAGTCAGCCTATTGCCCCCAACAATCTGGGTCCTCATTTTACCCACCTCGGAAGGATGGAAGGCTGAGTCAACCTTGAACCTGATGAGATTTGAACTGCCAAATGGCAGGCAGCCAGCACTAACAGACAGGAAACAACAGGTGAAGCTAGACAGAATCACATCTGATACCTGTACAATTAACACCCCCCACCCCCAAGGCTGTGTGCTTTCTCCACTTCTCCCTATATAACAATGACTGCATCTCAAATGATCCATCTGTTAAAATATTGAAGTTTTCAGATGACACAACAGTGATTGGTCTCATTTGAGACAACAACGAATCCGCATACAGACAGGAGGTTGTACAATTTGCCTCGTGGTGTAACTGGAACAATCTGGAACTGAACACACTCAAAACCGTAGAAATGGTGATAGACTTTAGAAGAAACCCTCCCACACTACCACCTCTTACAATACTAGACAACACCATATCAACAATAGAGACCTTCAAATTTCTAGGTTCTACTATATTACATGACCTAAAATGGACACCTAACATCAAAAATGTCATCAAAAAAGCACAACAAAGAATGTTCTTTCTGCGCCAACTCAGGAAGCTCAAACTGCCCAAGGAGCTGCTGATACAGTTCTACAGAGGAATTATTGAGTCTGTCATCTGCACCTCTATAACTGTCTGGTTTGGTTCTGCAATCCAACAGGACAGACACAGACTTCAGAGGATAATTAGGACTGCAGAAAAAACAATTACTACCAACCTGCCTTCCATCGAGGATCTGTATACTGAACGAGTCAAAAAGAGGGCTGTGAAAATATTTACGGACCCCTCACATCCCGGACATAAACTGTTTCAACTCCTTCCCTCAAAACAACGCTATAGAGCACAGCACACCAGAACAACTAGACACAAGGACAGTTTTTCCCTGAAAGCCATCACTCTGCTAAACAAATAATTCCCTCAAGCCAATTAATGCCTGTACCGGTCTGGAGTGGTTAGTGAGGGTCAGGGAAGAGAGCAGATAACAAAGAGGAATGAAGATGGGTGTCAAGGCTGGGGGGAAAAAAAATATGCCTGTCCCGTTGCCTGTTCCTATAGTGCTTCGTTTTGGGGAACATTTCCAAAAGAGATTAGGAAAACCCCAAACCATAGAAGGAAGACTTAGCCAGCCCCCACAAAAGAGCAATGTCCTACCTGTCAGTGAATACTTCAGCTTCAACCATAACAACACAAAAGCAAACAATAAATACAAACTCAAGATTAATCGCACCAAACTTGATTGCAGGAAATACGACCTCAGCAACAGAGTGGTCAATGTCTGGAATACTCTACCTGACTCTGTGGTTTCTTCCCCAAACCCCCAAAACTTTAACCTTAGACTGTCTACTATTGATCTCACCCCTTTCCTAAGAGGCCTGTGGGGGACGTGCATAAGCGTACCAATGTGTATTCTGTCCCTGTCCTATTGTTTATTTTATTTTATTTTTTTCTTATATGTATATCCACGTATTCATGACTATGTTTTTACTTATACCTATTATCTTGTAAGCAATTGACAAAATAAATAAAGTAAAGTAAAGTAAAGTAAACTTCCATCTTCCCACGGTTGCCTGGAGTGGGCAGCTGCTGTTGAGTCTTGCTGACTCAAGTCTTCACACATCGGCTGAGACTGAAAGGGAAGGGGTGAATCAGAGGGCAGCCTTGCCAGTTGCCGTCTGCTGATGTTGCTGCCTTCAAGGAAATCTTGCACCTTGGCAAAGGACGCAGCTGCCTGGCTTAGCCTCACCAAGAACTCCTCAACTCAAAAGCCCCAAGGTTCCTCCTCAAGGTTTATTTTCCAGCTCAGTGTGACAACTCCAATCAACCAGCCCCCTCCCCCGCCTCCACAGGAAGGAAGAGTTCCAAAGCACAAAGGCAGCAGGTTCAGGTAAGATAATATTCCTGCTTCGGGTTGCTAGGAATGTATTTTCTCTTCATCAGCTGGCTAGAGAAGAGAGCGCTAACCACAAGTTATCCACATCTTTCAGCTCTGGATGCTGCTCTTAGACCAAATGCATTCTGAGTCCCTCAAAGGTGGTGTTGGAAACGGGGCAGGGAGGGGAATAAATGGCAAGAGAGGCTCATGAGATTGAGGACTCACCGGCTGCTTGCACCAGGCACAACTAGGGTGGGATTGAATGCATTCATGGCAGGAAGGCTGTGGCTGGCAGGATCCTGAAAAGGAAACACAAGGGACCACAATGACGCCTGTCACTCTCCCCACCAAGTCTTCCTTCGTCTCTTTCCTGTTCTCCCTTCCTCATTCTACTTTCCCAAAAATTCATAAAGTTGCACGCATCCTTCCCATCTCCTTCTTTGGATCCACTTCCCAAAGAAACCCTAAAGCAAGCCATTCCCTTGGAAAATGGATTGGGTGGGGCTGCCCAATAGGATTTTCAATCTGTTGTTCGGTTAGTGGCAAGCTGGACTAGCAAAGAGTGGCCCTTCTGGGACTGTGCTGCCTGGCACCGGCTTTGAATGTCAAGGTTTTGTACATATTTATGTTACATTTCTATCAAGGGTGTGTGAGTAATTAGTTCATTCTGGGATAAATCCTGTAAGGCAGCCAAGTATAAGTTTGTCAAACAAAAACTTGTTCATTTTTCTCATCCCGGTATCTTAAAAAAAAAAAGAAGAGCAATCTCTGTCTTTCAGGATATTGAAAATAAAAGCTTAAATGATAACTGGGATAATTTGCAGGAAAGCTTCCAATCTACCACTGGCGACAGGGTTGAGATCGCCAGTGAGGCTTGCAAGCAGAAATCTGCCTTTGGAATAGCAATAGCACTTAGACTTATATATCACTTTATAGTGCTTTCCAGCCCTCTCTAAGCGGTTTACAGAATCAGCTTATTGCCCCCCAACAATTTGGGTCCTCATTTCACCCACAGGTTTCACTGTTTAGCCTTCAAGTCACTCAGGAAATGAACATATGAATTATTTAGTTGTCCAATTAATAAAGTTACCCGTCTCACAAAGCAAGTGACTCTAGGTGGTGTACAACAAAAATGTCACGCATGTCTTAGTGGCCAATGGGTAGTGATTAGAGAGGCCTTCCACCAAAGTCTCCTTAAACTCTTTCCTAGATTCTCTAGACTTTCTCCTTTTCTGACTCTAAATTCTTCTCCCTCCAAATACAATAGTGGCGCAGTACAATACAGTAGTAATGCAAAAGGCTACCCACAGCCAATAAATCTGACAATGACCCCAGTCTGCCAACATTCTTTCCTGATCATCTCTTTCAACCTGATTTTTCCACCCTGGAAATCTCTAAGTCACCTGAATAAACAATGGATGCCAACCCCAGGCCAGGGTCACTGCATGGGTGCAGGTTTCACTGAATCCAGAACAGATGCGTACAACTAAGTCAATGCATGTTGTGGATTACATTGTGAGCGGAAAAAGTTGGGAAAGCATATCAATATAGAACTGCAACATAGACAAAGTTTAGAACTCCATCCCTCCATAAAGGTCCCCGCATTACCAGTCTCTGCTATCTTCTCCCCACTCGTCATTCCTTGGAGCATAAGCAGAATCCCAAGGCGCAGAGTCCATCCATCAGAAAGCATGGCCTGGAAAGCAGAGGAAGGAAGAGGAAAGAAAGAAAGGGAGTGAGGGAGAGAAAGAAAAAAAGAAGAAGAAGAAAATAAAGAGATACTTTTAACAATGGCTTTCTTCCTCACCCAAAGAGCAAGATGTTAAAATCACCGTCACAGTGGAAGCTTGGGGGAGGATCTATGATCTGGTGGTTGAACATGTGCTTTGCATATAAAAGCCCCATGTCCAATCCATGGCAGGTCTAAAGGGTTTTAAAAAGTAACAAAGTTATGAAATCTCTGCTTGAAAACTCAGAGAACTTGGCAATTAAAGTTGGCTATGCTGGATTAGACAGCCAATTTGTCCTTTCCAAAGAGACTAAAATGTTCTGACTTAGTTGGCTTTACAAATATAATTTATAAATAAAGGGGCAAAATTTCAGGTAGCTTCCTAAAAATTCACTTGTCCTATTTTGTGGTCCATGAATATTTTTACAAGCTGGAAATCAAAAAGCCTCACAAGTTGTGATACCTCTCTCTCTCTCTCTCTCTCCCTCTCTCTCTTTCTCCTCCCCCCTCCCTTTCACTCCTAACCGTTGCATATATACCAGAGGTGGTATTCAGCAGGTTCTGACCAGTTCTGGAGAACCAGTACTGGAAATTTTGAGTAGTTCAGAGAACCAGCAAATACCACTTCTGACCGCAGATTTTACAGTACCCTTCCCCTGCCACGCCCACCAAGCCACGCCCACAGAACCGGTAGTAAAAAAAATTAAATCCCAGCACTGATACATACAATATTCTCTAGGGTGTTGCCACTCAGAAGGCCATATTGTGAAAAAAACATTGGGCTAACGAGGTCAATTGCTATAGAACGGAAGGATTTTTTAGTGCTATTGCATCTTTTGTATGAATTAACTCACAATAGAGCCATATTCATGCTTATTCATTGCCTTATAACTTCAACAGCAATACCACCACAGTGCTTTACAGTCATCTCTGGACAGCTTACAGAATCAGCATATTGCCCCCAACAATCTGGGTCCTCATTTTATCGACCTCAGAAGGATGGAAGTCTGAGTCAATATTGTAATGATGAGGCAGTCGAGTTGTTTGATCATGAACAACTGAATCATGATGATCTTTATTGGAGTCTAGTCTTGCAATTATACACATTTTTAGTTATCCTCCATCACTGGTTAACTTTGGTTACTGCTTAACTTTCGTTACTGTTTAGCACAGTAATCCATACAATTAATTATCTCTAGTTAAAGTCTAACATATGTTTACTTCCTCTCTCTAATCCTCCTTTAGATTAGTGACTTTGTTTACCTGAGTTGTATTTGCTTGGAAACATTCTTTATCTGAGGTTTGCCATCAAAGATTGGAACATTCCTGCAATTACAACTCTACAAGTCAACCTTGAGTCAGTCAGGCCAACCAAAACCAAGCATTTAATAGTGAGTGTCATACCATGTGCATTAATCAAACAGGTGGCAAGAAAGTAGGGGCAGGCAGGCACAACACAGGTTATGTAGACAGTAAACACAGTGTCAGACATAAAGATCTCAAATGCCTATATACAAATGCACAAAGTCTGTGGAACAAGCAGGGTGAACTCGAACTACGAATACATGAAGATAGATATGATATAGTTAGAATAACAGAAACCTGGTGGGATGAAACCCATGATTGGAACATACTGGTAGAAAGATACAAACTGTTCAAAAAAACCAGACCCATAAAAGAGGAAGTGGAGTTGCACTGTATGTAAAGGACCACTATATTGCTACAGAAATGCATGAAACCAAAGATGAAAACCTCCTAGAATGTATATGGGTCAATATAAAAGAAAAAAAGAATGACATGGCCATAGGTGTATATTATAGGCCACCCAATCAAGCAGAAAAAATAGATGCCTTTTTGCCAGCCAACTAACAAACATATGCAGGAAACACACAACAATAGTAATGGGAGACTTCAATTATCCTGATATCAATTGGAAAACTAATTCTGCACCAAGTGAGAAATCAAATAAGTTCCTAACCAACCTAGCTGACAACTTTGTTGTCCAAAAGGTAGAGGGTGAAACTAGAGGGACAGGCATATTGGACTTAATTCTTACAAACAGAGAAGTGATAGAGGGAGTTGAAACTGCAGGAACCTTGGGTGAGAGTGACCATGTCATACTAGAATTCAACATAACACAAACACAAGCAACAGATTTTAAAAGAACTGATTTCAATAAACTCAGAGAGAACTTGGGAAAGATTCCATGGATGAAAATCCTAAAGGGGAAAACAACTGTAGAATCTTGGGAAACTCTAAAAAGTATGATCATAGAAGCCCAGACCAGCACAATACCACTGAGAAAGAAAAACAAGAAATCCAAGAAGAAACCAGCATGGCTGCACAAAGATCTCTCTGGAAAATTGAAAGAAAAAAAGGACAAGTACAAAAAATGGAAAGAAGGACATACAACTAAGGCAGAATATCAGCAGATAGCCAGAATCTGCAAAGATGAAGTAAGAATAGCAAAGGCTCAGAACGAACAAAGACTTGCAACAAAAGTCAAAGATAATAAAAAAAGTTTCTTCCAACATGTAAATAACAAGAAAAAAAATCAAGGAAACAGTTGGTCCACTAAAGAGAGAAGATGGCAAGGAAGTAACAGGCAATAGAGAGAAAGCAGAACTGCTTAACTCATTCTTTGCATCCGTCTTCACACAAAAAGAAACTATAGCTCAACCCACCCAAAACATAACTGTAAAAGACAGACCAGAAATAAAAGTTAAAATAAGCATAAAAAAAAATAGTAAGAGAACACCTGCCTGATCTTGATGAAAACAAATCACCGGGGCCTGATGGATTACATCCCAGAGTTTTAAAGGAGCTGGCAGAGGTCATCTCAGAACCATTGCACCATATCTTTCAAAAATCCTGGAGCACCGGGGAACTACCAGAGGACTGGAAAAGAGCTGATGTGGTTCCCATCTTCAAAAAAGGGAAAAAAAACAGACCCAGGAAACTATAGATCAATCAGCCTAACATCAATACCTGAGAAGATACTGGAAAAGATAATAAAAAAAGCAGATCTGCCAACATCTAGAAACAAGTAAAGTAATAACTAGCAGTCAGCATGGGTTTGTTAAGAACAGATCATGCCAAACCAATCATATTTAATTCTTCAACACAGTGACTAAATTAGTAGACCAGCAAAATACTGTGGACATAATATATTTAGATTTCAGCAAGGCATTTGACAAAGTAGACCACAACCTACTTCTTAGTAAGCTAGAAAAAAGTGGAATAGATAGCACCACCACTAGATGGAGTCGCAACTGGCTGGCAAACCGTACTCAACGAATAGTCCTTAATGGGTCTAAGTCAGCATGGAGGGAAGTAAGCAGTGGGGTGCCACAAGGTTCCGTCTTAGGTCCAGTACTCTTCAATATCTTCATTAGCGACTTAGATGAGGTAATCGAAGGGGAACTTACCAAATTTGCAGATGATACTAAGCTGGCAGGAATAGCTAATACCCAAGAAGATAGGCTCAAGATCCAGATAGATCTTGACAGACTAGAACACTGGGCCGTATCTAACAAAATGAAATTCAATGTAGAGAAAAGTAAAGTCCTACACTTAGGCAAGAAAAACCAAAAGTACACATATAGACTGGGTGAAACCAGGCTCAGTAGCAATAACTGTGAGAGGGATCTTGGAGTCTTAGTGGACAACCAGCTAAATATGAGCCAACGGTGTGCAGCAGCCTCCCAAAAAGCTAATGCAATCCTAAGTTGTATTAATAGACGGATACAATCAAGATCAAAGGAAGTACTAATACCACTCTATAAAGCCTTAGTAAGACCACACCTAGAGTACTGCATCCAGTTTTGGTCACCACATTATAAAAAAGATGTTGAGACACTAGAAAAAGTACAGAGAAGAGCAACCAGGATGATTAGGGAACTGGAGGCTAAAACATACAGTGAACGGTTGCAAGAACTGGGCTTGTCTAGTCTAGTAAAGAGAAGGACCAGGGGAGACATGATAGCGGTCTTCCAATATTTGAGGGGCTGCCACAGGGTGGAAGGGGTCAAGCTATTTTCTAAAGTGCCTGTAGGCCAGACAAGGAATAATGGATGGAAACTGAACAAGGAGAGATTCAACCTGGAAATAAGGAGAAACTTTCTGACAGTGAGAACAATCAACCAATGGAACAGCTTGCCCTCGGAAGTTGTGGAAGCACCATCACTTGAGACTTTCAAGAAGAGATTGGACTGCCATTTGTCAGAAATGGTATAGGGTCTCCTACTGGGCGGGGATTTGGACTAGATCAGTGGTCCCCAACCTTTTTTGTACTAGGGACCAGTTTCACACAGGAACATTTTTTCAAGGACTGGTTAGGGTTTATTTATTTATTTATTATTTTTATTTTTTTATTTTATTTACTATTACACTATCAACTCACCAAAATTAACCAATGTTGGAGGATTACTAAAAATGTGTATAAATGCAAGACTAGACTCCAATAAAGTCATCATGATTCAGTTGATCATGATCAAACAAAAATATATGTTTGGCAAAAATATATGTTTTCTCCAAAAGCGTTTTGTAAGGTAATAATCCACAATTCAGATTTTACATTTAGGATGGGTTTGATCTCCCATATGGTCTTCAGCTTTCCACAATCTCAACAATTGTAAGGTGTGTGGGGAATTCAGAGAGTCCAAGTCCACACATTTTAAAGTTGTTGAGGTTCAGAAATCCAGGCATATAAGGAATTCCGGGGATTCATTCCAAATACCTGGAGAGCCCACTTCTTTCCGGATCTCTCTCACCCCATTTCGCTGCAACCCCTTGGCAAGCAGAGCATTGTCTAGAATTCTTCCAACTGAAATAAGACTTTCAATTACCTGGGAATAAATCCATATTAAACCAGCCAAACTTTTAGTAGATATTCACTGTGTACCTTGGCTAAAGCAACATTCTGCCCTGTGTGTTTTAGGATTCTCGTCTCTTTCGCTCTCTTCTCT